AATTTTTTGATAATCTTGCTGAGGTAATGGATAGGTACCAATTCGAGCCAAAAGATATCTGGAATATGGACGAGACAGGGGTGAGCACTGTTCAAAAACCTAGCAAAATTGTAGCTCAAAAAGGAATTAAACAAGTGGGTGCAGTAACCTCAGCAGAGCGTGGAAGAGTAGTAACTGCTGCTGTTGCCATCAATGCTCAAGGAGGACATATCCCGCCTTTTTTCGTATTCCCACTGAAACGATTCCAAGACCACATGATAGGCGAGGGTCCTGTTGGTTGTGCTGGAGCTGGCAATGCTAGTGGATGGATGCAGGATGCAGAAATTTTACTGTTTCTACAACATTTCAAAAGACAAGTCAAACCCACAGTTGATCAGAAATGCTTGTTACTGCTCGACAACCATGCGTCGCATATATCAATTAATGCTCTAGATTTTTGTAAAGGAAATAGAATAGTACTGCTATCGTTTCCACCCCATTGTACACATAAACTTCAACCTTTGGATAGAGCAGTATTTGGGCCATTTAAGAAAATGATAAGCACCGCTACAGACAACTAGATGCGAAATCATCCTGGTCGAACGATGACTACTCATTACATTCCTGGAATTGTTAGAGAAGCATTTTCTCTTTCTGTCACTAATAGAAATGCAATTGCTGGATTCACCTTTACTGGCATAAGTCCATTTAATAGGAATATTTTTACTGCTGTTGACTACGCGCCATCATCTGTGACTGACCGGCCGTTACAAGTTAACAGATAAATTCCGCCAAATGATGTGTTGACTAGTTCTGACGCAATATCAAACATTCAAGTTGATCCAAGTTCTCCAGCATGTGATCTTCCAACATCAATTGACTTATCTGTTCACCATACAGATAGCAATGATTTGTCAAACAATAATGACCAACCACCGGCTGATCAAAATATACCGGACCCGATCTCTGCTGATCCTGTGTTAGCTAACTCAATTTTTGCAGCAGCAAATTTACAAATTCTATCCAGCCGTTTAATTTATCACCCTAAAGATCTTAGACCTTTACCACAAGCGGGTCCGAGGACTGAAACAAATAAAGGTCGTAAAAAACATAAGACTGCCATTCTGACGGATACTCCCGAAAAAAATTCAATTGAACAAGAACACCAACAACGAAACAAAGCCAAAAAAATGGTACTGCAAACTAATACTGGAGAAGGTAAAAGAAAATTAATATGACCAAAAGAAAAGGGAAAAGGAAAAAAGACAAAGAAGGCACCAAAAGAAAAGGAAAATAAATCTGACGACGAAGATTGCTTCTGTCTTGTCTGTTCAGAAAATTTTGAGAATAGTCGACCAGATGAACGGTGGATACAATGAATCGAATGTAAAATGTGGTCCTATGTGGAATGCGTGGGTGACGATAAGAATTATGTGTGCCATAATTGCGATTCTGAGTGAGAGAATAATGACTGAGTTATAAAAGTCTGATTATAAAAAAATTATTAACATCATACTAAATTGATCTCATTACTTAAACTAAGAATACTTTTCATTGATTTGTTTTTTTAATATATAATTTTTGAACATTTGAAATACAGTTGATTTGTGTTATCATTACGAAGTCTTCAAATAAATAATTTGTTGATTTACCACGTAGAATATTGTATTCATTACCAATCCCTGGTCTTGTTACTTTCGACCCACAACGTGTTACTTTCGATTATGCATTTGCCTATCTTTAATGTGTAGGAAAATCATTTTAGAAACTATAGATATAGTTTCAGCCACATCAGCGGAACAGTACAAACATTTTGACGCAAATCTTCAAACGAACATAACTTTTTTGCTTATGAGAACATCCTGGAAAATCCCAAATCATTGTGAAGAAATCAGGGGTTTTATATGGTAGCCCCTAATCCCAAATCCGACAGAAAGGTTTTTACATTTTCACCTGAATGATGTTTTTTTGAAAAAACAGGGGCCCTTTAGAAACTTTTATAACAGTCCAGAAGAGCAGTGGATTTTCGCAAGTGGTAGTGCGCCCGACTCACGATCGAAAAGTCGTGAGTTCGATTCCTACCTTGACCTGATATTTTTCTCGTGAGAATTATTCTAGCTGATTCATTACATGGCTGACGGACTGCAAATAGGCATAATTGCTCTCTGAGTGGCTCGGAGAGTTGTTAATATCGCATACCCAGATCACGAAGCTAATAGCCAAAGCAGTCGATGCCGTTGACACCAAAAACAGTTTAGAATATTGTAGAATGCTCTGGAACATTGTGAACCAGCGTGTGTATAAAAGCAAGATCCCTCGACTTCACATAATTTGAAGTTTATTCTTTTATATCAACTACCATATAATCTCATATGAATTCCGGGTACTTCGCTAGTAACTAATAATAATGACCTTCGATAAATTTCACTCAAACAAACGTAGGATTACAACAACACACCAACAGTCGACAAATGACTAACTGGATAGTTCGTACTGGAACCTCTGGCGTAAAATTAATCTATTGAAAACACTTTCTCAACACCAGAACATCTCCTGAGAACTGTAACTTGGTTAGCGGAATGCGCGTCGAGAGACCGTGATTTTTATTCTGGTGTTGGGAAAGTGTTGACTAACTATTGAATCAAATCAAAAAATATATCTTTTCTGGAAAAATGACCATTTCACCTTCGAAAAATCCTAATAATTATTTGTTAATTGCTGATAGTAGCAATGAAGAGGAAGTATTTTATATTATACCAATTGTGAAAAAGAGAATAGTTGAGTGCACAGCAATCGGAGTGTATTCCATTCTAGCCTTGTCAATCTGTTGCTCTGTCACTTCTGCTACGGCTTGTTTAGCTGCTATTTCATTGGACAATACTTTCGAAGAGCTCAGAATTTGTACTGCGGTTTCGTCTTCTAGTATATTTCCTTGTGATGTACTGAGGACTTCTAAAATTTTGTCCTCTATTTCTTTCAGAGCTCTGAAAAATACAATTCATGACATACGTGTACATCTATCATTTGGTACATGGTCATCACTCATTTCATTAATGGAAGCTAAAACTGAAACCTCTGGTGTAGAATGAATCCAAAATAAGCACTTTTCCCAATTACGTCGCAGACTTTTCAACCTGTCTTACAGGAAAGGAGTTTTTCCTTCTTGTTGGAAGATTGCTCGCGTTCAGGACAAGAAAAATCTCCCAAATAACTAAAGACCAGTCGCCGCTTTGTTATCAGTGATATCAAAAATCATGGAGAAAGCCGTAAACCACCATATCGTTAAATATTTTGAAAGCTTAAACATCTTGAGCGATCATCAATATGGTTTTTGGAAACAAAGATCAATTGGCGACCTTCTATCGTATGTCACTTATATTTGGAATAACACAATAAAGAAATATGGAGAATCAAGAGCTGTTGCGCTTGATATTTCTAAGGCCTTCGACCGTGTGTAGCATGAGGGTTTGCTGGCCAAACTTCGATGCTGTGGCTTGTCGGATCACATCTGTGTATGGTACTCCAGCTTCCTGAAGGAACGTTCCTTGCGAGTGGCCGACGATGGATATCTCTCGAATACTTTTACCATCGGTGCTGGTGTTCCCCAGGAAACTATTTTGGTTACAACCCTCTTTCTATTGTATATCAACGGCTCATTGGAAAAAACCAAGAATCCAATATATTGCTTAGCTGACGACAGCACATTCTTATTACAATTTAATTATCAATATGTGCTGTATACTACATTGATAAATTAGTATTCAAATAATTTATTTTTCCTTCTTGGGATTGATATAGATTATTATTATTATTATTTCAGACGGAAATCCACACCATTGATTCAAGTGTAGAGAAAGTAGTGGAAAACAACTTCACATATAAATCAATCAAAATATTGTCGTATATTTAAGCTGCTATGGGAGTACTCGACTCTCAACTGATATAATGAATTTGTTCGAAGAAAAACCAAGCTCCTCTAAACGGCCCGTTTTCAGTTCACAAGTATTCATTTGAGCCCTTTGTTGATCTCATAACGTCGTCTTCTCAAAGAAAATGTCATCGTTCTTTCCTACATAGAGTTGAGTCTAACGAAACCAAAAGCAATAGATAATTCAAGAACATCCGTCAAGATGAACATTGCTGTTACCTTCAAACGGGTGTCGTTGATCAGAAGAGCAGTCAACTCTGTTTTGGGTTTCTATAACTTAATAAAACAGAACAATAAAGTATAATGAATATTAATAATATACAATCAATTTGTATTCACTTACTAAATATTCTATGTTATGAATTATGAATGGACTAACCCGTTACTCCAATAACACTCTCCATGATAATAAATAAACAATTTTCGCTAATATCGTAGCTTCATCAGTAGCTTCATCACTACCGATGAAGCTACGGTGTTGGCGAAATACGTCTATAATAAAATCATTTTGTGAGAATTAATTAAATTATTATCATGAATATTTTATGATTATGATTTTTATTTGTGTGTTTTGATATTATCTTGATAAAATTCATTAGATACACGTTCTACCGACTTTGGTTTGGTGATCATAAAAATCAGAATGGTGGATTCAAATAACTAGGTTTCGATTTCTCATAAAACCCACTGACAGTAATGAATTCTGTTTTTTGACTAAATCGTACATCATTTTCATTATATTAGACTATCGACCAACTCTGTATTAAGCCACAATAAAAAAAACAATTATCGATGGTTCAATAGAAACGTGCTTTATAGGAAATTCATTCCGAACGGTGAATTAGTATTCTACTCACGAAATTATGATGGCATTATCTATGCTGAAATTATCTGTCGGCAGACCGAAGATGTTCCATTGTCTGATGATCACGGGCTCCCCTAGGACTTGTGTGAGCTGAAAATCTCTGCTGCAGACGATCTCGTAGCTAGTTAAGGCGTCCACCCACTGTTCTACTTGTTCTGCTCTAAACTGCATTGTGAATGGGCCGAGATACGCCACAACACCAGCGGCAATCAAAATATCTCCTAGAAGTTGTAACGAAGAAAAAATGCAATTGGAATATTTCTGGCTCCGAAAAAAGCCCATGATAAAAAAATATGGCAATGAAGGAAAAGAAAGACAGTTATTCGAGAGGTGTTTTGAAGATAGAGTAACGAGCACTCATATTGGAATATACAAGGTCAAAAATATATTTACAGAAAAAGTATTACCTCAAGGCTCTGTAATTGGGCCTATTCTATTTCCAATTTATATTCGCAATTCACGGTATGCAGGTCTTTCAGAAAAGTATATTGTTTTTGCTGACGACACAGGAACCTTCAGTTATTTAAGAAATATTGAGATGAAATTACTAGAGGAAAGGCTGGAAATTCACAACTTGAGATTTGATACGGATAAGTTAGGTAGGGTTCAAGGTGAGTGGGTCTGTTCGAGTCCCTCTCACCTATTTAAACTCGACCAAATAAATCCAACTTTAAATTCAGTCACCACATCTTCTCTCTTCCAACACGTATTAGCGACAGGATATAACTTCAATTTCGAGAACACAAAAATACTAGCAGGCAGTGAAAACTTGTAATCTCGAACAATCAGAGATGCTATCGAAATTGAAAAATGACCTAGTAGTATGAATAAGAGGGATGATGTGCAAAGTTCACCAACAACATAAAGATCCATTTTATCTCGTCACAAAAGCAAACAGACCGTAACACCCGAGAAGCAAAACTTAGCACATGACAACACAGGTATAATAACAGAGGCAGGAGAGGCAGCTCAAGGGCCAAAACAGGTAGTCGAGTAAACATAGGTAGTAGTAGCAACCCAGGTAAATAGAAGAATCCATCCCTATAAATTAAGACACACAGAGTTCGAATTGAACTCCAGACATCACCAGAAGATGGCAAATGAGACTTTGCCGAAACATTGTGAAAATAATCCTTATGAGGATAAAAAACACGGAACACGGAGCGAAATCCGAAAAAATAGCTCATCATACATCATATAACGCGTCTGGTGTTTTTGGTTGATCGATGTTTCGACTCATAGTTTCTTGAAAATGGTTTCAAAGTCGAAGCCAAAACAACGAAAAACTGAAAGAATCAGACGCGGTTCACCTATGTGTGTGTATAAATTCGAATTGGTATAGTGATGATGGAGACGAATATATTGGAGAGGGTAAGGTGAAAGTTATGAAGAGAAAATATAAAAAAAGTTACAAATATCCTGTTGTTTTATAGCCAAACCTCGTAGAATTGAGATCATTATAAACACAAATTCACAAAAAAAATCTATATCTATTAAAATCATATAACAGACTGATAATAGCGCTCCTCATAATAGGTTATTGATTCATAATAAATGTCCAGAACAAACAAATAGTACTGAGAAAATAAATTTGTTGTACATTTCAGTACTATTCGAAATGGACTGACTATAAAGTATCGATCTGGAGAGAATTCTTTTCCCACACTAAAACATAAATAACTGCCTCTCGACGTGCGTTTCACTAACCAAGTTAACATCATCAGGGGATGATGAAAACTTTTTAAAAGCCAGCAAAAATCAGTTTCATCTCTTGTTTATGTTCTTGTGTGTAGAAAGTATTCTCTTCAAATTATTTTTACGTCAGAGTTTCCAATTCTACCTATTGAATGTGAGGGCTGACCTGTCAGTAGGAAGTATTTCTCTCCTAGTTCCTTGGCGGTCGTTCTCCACCTATCCTTCTCTCCTCCCAAGCCTCCTATGAGTTCCTCTGCTCTTTGCAGCTTCAGTTGACACAAAGTCACCTCGTCTGTGAGAATTTGAAATTTTTTCTGTTCAGCCTCCAACGCTGCTTCCAGTTTGGCTACTCTTTCCCTGGCTTCACGTAACAGGGCTCTTTTCAATTCCAGAGCCGCCATTGCCGCCTGAAATTCACTCTCAGCAACGGCTAGCGCTGCTTTTTTGGGAGCTACTACTTTGGCCACTTTGTCGTATTTGGATATCGCAATTACCCACTTACTCAGACCTTGAAAACATGCATAGTCAATCTTAGAAAAATCAAGTATTGCAACCTGTTAACTAGTAGATGAAAATGTATACCTCGCAAAGTTCAACTTCATTTTTTAAAAAATCAGTAATCAGAGTTCGAAAGGAATATTTCATAGAATTTTTTATATGAAATAAAAAGTCTTATTGAGTGAAGAATATGACTGGAGTTTTTCCACAACACCAAACCGTTATTTTTAAACACCTCGACACGTGTTTCAATCACCAAGTGGTCATCTTGTCTAACTAATCTTAATGAACTAAAGTCTTTGGAATGGTTTTGTTGCCAAACAAGATGGGCAAGTGCTGATTTTTTTGGTCTTCCAAATTTTAGGTGTGCTAAGTGTTCCTTATATCTTATTTAAATAGATCTTTTTGTTTGTCCAGAATATTTTGCATTGCATTCCTTACATTTATTTCGTTAATTCCAGACAAGTGTCGAAGTGTTTGAAAGTAATGGTTTGTCGTGAAAAACTCCAGTAATATTCTTTACTACACCCCAAAGTTTCCAAACAGTGCATTACAAGTTGTCTTTGAGTACTTTTTGATAAGAGTATATTCAAAATGCATAACCGCTGAAAAGAATATCACAGATCAATTAGTCAAAATTAGTTAGTATATGACTTAGTATCAACCCTTTCGGTTGTTCTTTCTTTCTCATATATAGACATAGTTATTCAAATTTAATGAACACCAAAATATCATCATTATCATCCTTGAGTTAGAAATTCAGTATTTATTTTTGTGAATACTACAAATCTGAATAGTATCATTGAAATAGGATACGTTTATATCCATTTCACTAATTTGATCTTTCTTATCTTTATTTTCATTGACAACAAATTTATTTGGATCAGATATTTCAATCAAGAAGTTCCATCCTTAATTTTTTTTATTTCACATTCGCGTTTTAAACATGGCAGTATAAGAATAAGTCCGAACCTCCTTCATTTTTTTCGAAAATTGTTTCACAAATCGTTAACATATCAAATTCTCAAACACATTTTACCTTCAGCTGCGGTGGATGCCGTTTTTATCTTCTCAGGATCAAAGCTTTCATCATTCAAGATTTGGTGTTTTAATTTATCCATAATGCGAGGTGCAATGTTATCCTTGTCATAGTTGATTAGACTGTCCAAGAACTTCATGTCTCCCAAAACTCTCAAAGATGGTCCCCAATAATCATCCACTGTTCCAATTCCACTAGGAGCAGGGACTTTTTGAGGTTTTATGTCCTGAAAAAAGGTATTCATATTTATCAGCTCTGAAATGAGTTTAGTTGTTCAGCTATCAATATCTCACCTTCAAGATACAAACTGCTTCCATAACCAATTTTACACCTTTGGGGGGATTTTTCATTGTTTTCACAACACTGATATCAGCAGGTGTGAGCGTATTCAAAGCAGCTAATGCTGCATTCAAAATCGGCATTGCCTCTGCCAGGTTTGCATCACACTCATCTTTGATGGCTTGGGCAGCTTTGGCCTGCTCGTTTGCCACTTCTTCGTCAACCTTTGAGAAATCATTTTGTAATTGAAGTGTGTGCAAACTATCGAAACTGAAGATACAAACATGGATATCCTAAACTATGTAAATCAGAGTTCAAAAAGTAATTTCTGAAGTGTCTATCACAAATTATAGGTGCTGATTTTAAATCTATTTAACACTCAGACGAAATGAACTGTGGTGTCAGATTGGTTGATGTTCATACATCCTCATTATCTCTACCTGTATAGTTTTTTCAACGACAGCAGCTTCTGCAGATTCAGCTTCGACTTTTTTCAACGTTTCTTCTACTTTGGCTGCTGCGATAACAAGCTGGGGTTCCAAGGCTGCCAAACTTGCTTGCATTATAGACACTTCCGCTCCAGCAGATTCGAGTTTCTCTAAACCAACTTCATATCTTTTTTTGAGTGTTATGATCTCTCTGCAATCAATAGCAAAATGAAGGGACAATTATACATTCATTTCAATCAATTCCAATTATGTAAGTATGAAGATATGCAGATTCTTCAAATGAATAATTTGGAGAAAAAAATCAATAAATATAATAATAATCTATCTACAAAATGTTTTTCCATACATTCAATTCCTTTCGCTCTCAGTTGAATATTTGAATTCAATTTAAAAGTAGTATGACTCTTTTTTTAAATATCAAGATAAGAGATGTTCACACAGGGAGCACAATCAAAAGACAAAAGAAAGAATGACGCGACGACAGAAATTGCAAGTAGGTAGGTAGATATAGGAGAGGCCAAAATCCAAAGGGTTTATTCGACCCACCACAGCAAACCGCAAGGGTTTATTGTCGAATTCGGCCAAATAACACCAGTTTCTCAATGAAGCTGGTTAGCTTTTTTGATGAGCGATCTTTCAGGTGAGAAGCCAAGATTGAAGCTCTCAAACCATGAAAACCTGTTCCGGTCCGCAACGGGGCAGGCACAGAGTGTGTAATAATAATGATAATAAAATTGACATATTGATTATTTACACTCTCAACATACAACTTAATACAAACATTTATATAAAAAAAAGTGGCGAGATTCAGTTTTTGTAGATAACCTTTTCATCCACTCAACCTTCAAAAGGTATCTGTAATGGCATTACATACAAAAGGCTAGTGCAGGGGTTCCTCAAGTGAGTGCCGCGGCGACCTGGTGTGCCGTAGAAAGAAAAGAGGGGCGCCGTGAATCAATTGTCTATCACTATCCGAAACCATAAGTATTCGCGCGTACGTATGTAGTGAAAAATATTTTGAGCGCTTGTTCGAATGATAGTAAAAAAGCATCTACTAGTGGCGGCGGGGAAGCGAATAAGCGAAAATATCGGTAATACGATGATAGCTATTTGGACTTTGATTTTACTTCTATAGAAGTGAACGATAAAGAGAATCCGTAGTGTGTGCTTTGTTTGAAAATGCTATCATCCGAAAGTATGCTCCCGAGTAAGAAAACGAGATTCGATACAGTTCATCCTACTATAACTGAGGCATCGCGGGGTTTTTGTCACCGAAAATTACAAAATTTAATGAAAACAAAAAACGTTTTCACTCAGCAGGCATCAGTACCTAACAAGGTACTGTTAGCTTCATTCAAATGGCATACAGGTTGGCAGAATGCAAAAAACCTCATATTATACCCTTATCTAACAATATCGAGAAATTCATGGAATAGCTGAAGATCTCAATTACCAATTAGAAGAAAAAATTGAAGGTAAGGATTTTGATTTGCAGCTTGATGAGGCTACTGACAGTAATAATGATGCACATCATATTTGTTAGGTAAGCTTTCCGGCTCATATTATTACTGTTGGTGAACTTTCATTCTGCAATAGCATAAAAGTGCTACCGACCTAGACTTGTTTCAAATTTATTGCAGAAAATGGTTTGGATTGGGAAAGATACTGATGTTGCTCGATCCATGTTTGGCACCAAATGCAATATCGACCCATTGCATCATCCATAGGGAAACTCTTGCATCAATGAACTCTGAATTGAACCAAGTACTAAATAATAAATAGGCCGCTAAAGGCCAGACTTTTCAACAAACTATGCACAGTTATTTGAGTTGAATTTACAGCCCTGCTGTAATACTGTAATTCATGATGGTTTTCACCTGAAAATTTCTTATTTCGTATATATTTGAAAAACTAAACGTCTTTGCAAGGCAACAACACGCACCTTCTGAAGCTGTTGAAGAAGATTGCGGTATTTAAAAAAAATGCAGTTGTGGATGAACAAAGTTAATGAAGGTGACTTGATTTGGTTATCCGTTCAAAATGAATATACAAATTCAACTTCAAAAGCTTCAGCAGTAATCAAGATCAAATACCGATCAAGGATTAATGTGAAGCAAGAAATGAAAGTAGCAGGATCAAGCCTTATAACCCGCTTTGGAAAACTGTATGGAGATTACCAAGCTCATCCTTTTCATTGATTCGACTGAGTAGCTATTTTATTTCATTTTTTCTTAAATTTATCTTGTTGTTTTCTATTTCAGTTCTGAATTCTCATAAATATAATAAACTTAGTTCAAACTAGAACAGGGCGCCGTGACAAAATACTAAACTTGTAATTGCGCCGACAACTGAAAAAGATCGGTAACCCTTGGGCTAGTGTTTTACATTTTCAGAAAAAAAAAGAAACAGAATATAAAATAGGAATTTCCAAGAAATACCGATATAATGAATGTTCAGTAACCATAAGAAAGATCAAAATGAGGATCCAACCATTATGTTACTGACAATTTTGTGCTCTGCGGTTTCATCATCTTCCAAACAGAGACGGTACTCTCTGTCTTCTGACAGTCCGAGTCTGTGCGAAAAATGATTCAGACGACAGTAACATTTGAGTACGTCATCCCAAACAATTGTTTGTACATTTTTTTTGAAGGAAATCACTTCCACAATCTGAAAAATTGCTGGTGTAGAAAGGGTAAACATTTAATTTCATCCCGTTAATACAATTTATGCCTTTTATCAGTAACTTGTCCTATTTTACAATTTCTACCATCAAAAATAACATACATATCCAACCGTTTCAGAGTCAAAATTGGGAGAAACATTGCAGCCCCTCTTTGATTGGCTTTATTTTTTAAACTTCCTCGAAAGATGTCAAAACGGTTTTGATACCAGTGCAACAAATTCTTCGATAATAATTTTCCAGATCAATGTATTAGAGAAAGAGGTTTCACACAAAGGCCACTCAATTCCCCCTATTTATTACCGCTGGATTTTTCTATGCGCATGAATGAAATTAAATGTATATGAGACGCAGCCAACTACTCTAGATAGTTTACAAACATGTCAACAACATAATGTAATGAAGAAAACAGAAGTTGGTCATACCATTGTGAGCAAGCTAATGGTGCTCAGGTAGAATATTCGATGAAGTGAATGTTTTTGTTCGGATTAACTTTCTAACTTAACAACTTAGAAAAATGTTATTTTTTTTCCTATTGTCGTAATGTCAAAAATGTATGGGGTTAGCTACAAAATTGTAAGGTCTTCCAAATGAGGTGTCACTCGACGATTCATTTCATCTGAAATTTTTGACGTGGAGGTTAGTATAGAGAGGAGATGACTGACAAGAGGTTGACTTTCATGTGGAAACTAAAGTTGACGTATTTATAGGAAATACGACTCTTCAAACTTCAAGATTAGGAGGTTGAATAACTGGAAACGATTCTAGATTACACACTAATATAGAACGAGCATTAAGACAGATTAAAAAAAAGGCAAAGGTAAAACCAAGAGTAGTCGAATTCATCTCAGGAAAAGCCAGATATGATATGTATACTTGAACATTCATTTTTATGCCTGAGATAGATTGTAAAATTTATTAATAAAAAATGTTGAATCTTTTGAGATTTGTTTCATTTTCATATTTTTTTTAATATATAGTCTAGTTAGCAATTTTTTCATTCTTTGATACTAACGATTTGAAAATATTTCCTGGTTCTATGATGAAATTTGCATTTTCCACACAAAAACACATTATTTGGCTTCAAGTATGAAAGAAAGTAGATTTGCAAAAATATATCTTCTTTCACAATAATTGTACCACAAGACGAACAAAAATAATATTAATAATTTACTTTCGTTTCTTTGACAGGAATGTCTTAAACGTGCTTATCATTTCCAAGTACGAAGTTGGGGTCACGTAGTTTCGTCGGCTTAGTCTCAAGTAATATTCTTCAGATAATTCTTGCGTAGATATGTGGAACATCTGACACATATCGATGCAAACTTGACGCTCCTTGTCGATAAGCTCTATTTCACCCAAAAATCTCGTCGCTACAGCCAGTAGGGCGTCTTCCGGCCATGTCTGAAATATAAATGGTCAAAATACAATCACAAATTTGAAAGAAAGACATCATTTCATCAGTATATTAATCCTAACTACTAATGATTAGTTTGTAACGATACATTTTTCCTTAATTGAGACTTCAAGCAAGAATGTACAAAATGGGCCAAATTGGACACTTTCAAAGGGAAACTCCTGCTTTCAAATTATATAGGTGAAGACTGATGGTTAGGTCAAATTTTATGACAAACTCAATGTGAAAACCGTACATCGATATCTATCATTGTTTCTAATTACAGCATTTTCAAAAAGTTGCTTTTTTCTGTCAAAAAATTCTTTTTACTATGAAAATATGTTGAAAACGCTTTTTGCGTAGAATTCAAAACACAAGCACTACTATAAAATCCTTAAATCGCTATCGGAGCTGTGCCTATGCGAAAGTAGTGATTCAGATTGGATTTGAATCGCTGGAGATTAAATCCATTTGGAAAAACGTCCTCTGGAAGTTTATTTCAGGGTCTCAAACGCAGTTCTCCAGATGGAAGAGTTCTTAAATAGTGAAGTTTGAGGTGTAATCAGTTGAACCTAAAAAATGATGAGCAGCCACAGTCCCTCGCCTATTTCTAATATGTGCTGCTCTTGGTGGAATCAAATGTGCCAAGTCGCTTGAATACTTCCCGTAAAAGTATCTATAGAAGATATACAAATCTCCAACTTTTCTTCGATGTTCCAGGCTTTCAAGGTTGCATGTAAGCGTCTCCAATCAGACGGATGGCTCTTTTCTGGATGGAATCCAACAACTTCAGGGTATGTTTAGGGGCAAATCTCCATACATGAGAACAATAGTCCAAAAAAGGTCTGAACTGAGTTTTATAAGTCTATTGGTTGAGAACTATTTTTTAAAGAGACACCCTGTATTTCCAAAAATGTAGACACACTTGATGTTTTGCTAGTGTCATCTTTGAAATACAGAGCTTTTCTTTTTTTTCATGTAGACTTTGGAACGCACACTTTGATCATGTAGACTTTGGACGATGCGGCGATAAAACAGAATGCAAATTGATGGTAGTTGTCAAATTTTGATTTCAACAATAAAGACGCTCTTCAAATAGTGTTTTTTGTAAAATTTCTTAACGCATTCGCAATGAAGTATGTGAATTATAAAAAATGGGATAACCTTTTTTCGCAAGGTTGCGACATAACCTAATGAGCCTTTTTCCTGACAATAGTACAGCGAACGTGTCACGAGAGGCAGCACTAATAGTAGGGACAAACATAAACTATTCACATGTAATGGCATGTAACAGTGTTATTTACGTAATATTAATTCATTATTTAAAAATATTAATCTGGTATAAAAAATTATTTTGTGCTAGTATAATGCCAATATATTACTTTAAACATATCGTCCATACAAACAAGCAAACAACAAATAAAAAAAACTATGAATTAGCAAAATATTCACTAATGTCATAAAAGCAGGATTTCACTTAATATTTTTTCAATCTTTCTTTGAATTTATTAATATTTTTTTCGTTTTTGATATCACTTGGGAGATGATTGAAAAATCTTATTCCATTATAGTTAGGACTACTTTCGTAAAGTGATGTACGGTGCTTTATTCTTCTAAATAAGTCACCTTGCCTCGTAGAATGGTCATGAGAGTCAGAATTTTTTGAGAAGCTCGTGATGTAGAGTTCAACATATGTTACAGTTTTATAAATGTAGATCGATGGTACCGTCAGTAATTTGAACTTTTTAAAATTATTCCTACACATCATTCGGTAATCTAAGCCAAATATTAGACGAATTAGTGTTTTTTGACTGATGAAAACTCTGCGAGCATTGGCCGTACTTCCCCAAAGAACAATATTATAAGAAATATGTGAATATGAGGGTGCATAGTATATATTTATTAATTGCTCTAGTGTGAATATATTCTTCAGCTGCAAAATTGCATAATAACTACTATTGAGTCTTTTATATACCTGATCAACATGTGTATTCCACTTCAAATTTACATCTAAATATGTGCCGAGAAATTTAATTCAATCCGAAAATATATATTTTCGTTGTTCACGCGAACAAAATAATCATTTGAGATTTTTGTACGAAAATAAAACTGTAGACATATTGTTTGTCAGGATTGACAATTAAGGAATTGTCACTACACCAATCAGTAAATTCTTTCGACAAATTATTCATATTCTGCACATGTGAGAAGTGCCGGCTTTTTCAACCGCTACAATTCTTATACTTGGGCACAAAAAATCCTCATTCTATTGTGGAGCAGAGAAGTCAAAGAAGATTTGGATTCAGTGTGGGGGCAGGTGTATTCAGGGGTAGAATTATCGGCCTATTCATTCATAATGGCACTCTCACATGTCAAAAGACATTTTGAAATTTTAAGGCGAAATATTGAACCCCTTGTTGATGAATCGCCACTAATGAAGCCCTGAAAAATATATTTCAACAAGACGCCTCACAACACTGCAATTGTCACCAACTTTTTGGTAATAATTGGATAGCCAACCAAGGACCCAACCGTTGGCCGGCCAGGTTATCGGACCTAACACCAATGGACTTTTACCTTTGTGAGTTTCCATTTGAAAGTGTCCAATTTGGCCCACTCTGGACATAAGTATAAAAAAATATTTAACTGAAAATAGTGCCTTAATCTAATGTGCCTGATGATGATATCGACAATCAATACTGAGCAGTATGGAAATGAACCAGTGTGTAATTCAACTTGAGAATTTCAACTAACAATTTTTTAAAGTGATCAATTGAGTTGCTACATTCAATTTCCCTAAAAAGTTGATCATAATCTGCTAGCCCTGTGAGGAATTAAGAACTCGTTCTTGTATAATGCATTCGAATAGTACATATAAAATACATTATTATAAATTATAACAATAATGAAAAATAACCACTTGACGTGAATAAATATATGCTTTTAAAATTTTCACTGAATATTTCAGTATTTCCAATGCTATTTTGGCTCTTTTGTGAGACGGTCATTTTGCAATGTATTGAATCTAAATCCGACCAGAACTTGGCCAGATATAGGCTATTGAAAATTTTCATGTGTCGGCAATTGCCAATATTTTTCATTTCGCCAAAATCGTACCTAGGACTTGAATTTGTTATAAATATGTCTTCATTGCATCCAGAAAGGGATGGGGGGAGGAGTTGATAGTATTTTTTCGTAAGAACCTGAGTTTTACGACCTTCAGAACAGAACATCGATATTTTCACACCCATAATGGTAAGATATTTTCAATTGGAAATCAGCTGCCGTAAAAATGTATAATCAATGATACTTTTACATGATTGTGATGCACTGTTTGGAACCTTTGGTGTAGTAATGAATATTACTGGAAGATCAAACTGATCTTCCTCTTGAAGATGATCACTTAGTGATCGAAACACGTGTCTAGTTGTTAAAATAACGGTTTGGTGGTGGGAAAAAACTCCAGTAATATTCATACTTTTACATGTCAACGTAGTTAATTGATTCAAGCACACAGGTAGTTGCAGGTGAAGTTTCAAAAATAAATTTTGGAAGTTGGAAGAGTTTTATTATATCCGAAATGTATCTTACAGAACGGTCGAGACCTTCATTTTACTGGTACTTTTGCTGCCCTTTCAATTTAAAATAAAAAACACTTTTTGATTTCAACGTGGTCTTTCATTTTGAGGAGCTGTCATGTAATATTTACCTGCTTTCTATTTCTAATTATTATGTAAACGGATCATTTGGAATGAGACCTTTATCGCTGTTCATAGATTTTATTCTAAATTGTCGAAGGCATCTTAAAACCATTGTCATGCGTACTGGTCTCAACAGTTTCAATCTATTTTCATTAATTCTGTGGCCGTTATCTAAGGCAAGGTAAGTGACCAACATAATTTTTGTCGCAATACTTGCAGCTTATTTGGTAAATTCCAAGATATTAACGAAATAAAGTATGGCAAGGAAGAATAGGTCGAAACAGAAATAAAAAACCGTATTCCCATTAAATTTTTCATTATATTTTCCCAGTTTCAACAATATTACCATGATGAACACAATTTCAACACCTTCTATGTAATTATTTGTTAAATCCTGATATTAATTATGGTGAAAGCGCCTCCTTCTTTTAAGTCAATTATATGTGGATCCCCAGTTCACTGTTCACCGTTAATCTCACATATTTTTTGTATTATTCATGTTCAAATACAATTATTGAAGAATGTCATTGAAAGACTTGATATTAAGTTTGCAATCTTCTCAAAATAACATCATTTTTGTTCATAGACCCTAAATATAATTGAAAGTATTTCAGGTAAATAATGTTATTGTTATACAACGACTGTTTTCAAATATAAGTTTTCAATGACACTTCAATACTTATCTGAAAATGAAAAAATAACGCATAGTTTTTCATTGGCAACAACAGACTAAATAACTCCAATTCTAAAAACTATCTCACCTGAAACCAGTCGATAGTGCAACAGCTCACCAAAGCTGGAAACTTTCTAATTCTATTTCGAAAACTATCTCCAATGGGACTCATAGTTAAAAGAAGATGTAGCTGCTCCTTGACAATCTGGACGAAGAAATTGAAGAGGGCTACAGGACTACCATCAGTTTGCAAAGATTTGTCTCTCTGTCTGTCGAGCTGTCTCATTTTTTCACACAGCTCCACCTTTTCCTCCATGGTGAATAAATTAGGAACCTCGCCGGAATTCATGAGGTTGCTAACGTCTTCCAGAAAACCTTCCTCTTTGATTTGAGTGTCCGAAAATAGAAATACCCCTGAAGTCATGCGAAAAATATTGTAAACGTCATTTTTATCTCAATGTAAGTTTACCATGTTGATCCGTGGCACTAGCCTTACGAAGAATACTTTTCACATCTTCCCTCCATTCGTTGATACCATAAAGTCGAGTTATTTCTACTTGAAACAATTCATACTCGGATATGTGTGCTGCTAGCCTTGTGAGAGACTGACGTCCTGATCCGCCTACTCCCACACAAAGACCATGACTTCTTGGTTGCTTTAAAATTCGGCATANAGTATTCGCGCGTACGTATGTAGTGAAAAATATTTTGAGCGCTTGTTCGAATGATAGTAAAAAAGCATCTACTAGTGGCGGCGGGGAAGCGAATAAGCGAAAATATCGGTAATACGATGATAGCTATTTGGACTTTGATTTTACTTCTATAGAAGTGAACGATAAAGAGAATCCGTAGTGTATGCTTTGTTTGAAAATGCTATCATCCGAAAGTATGCTCCCGAGTAAGAAAACGAGATTCGATACAGTTCATCCAACTATAACTGAGGCATCGCGGGGTTTTTTTCACCGAAAACTACAAAATTTAATGAAAACAAAAACGTTTTCACTCAGCAAGCATCAGTACCCAACAACGTACTGTTAGCTTCATTCAAATGGCATACAGGTTGGCAGAATGCAAAAAACCTCATATTATACCCTTATCTAACAATATTATCAGTCGAGAAATTCATGGAATAGCTGAAGATCTCAATACCAATTAGAAGAAAAAATTGAAGGCAAGGATTTTTATTTGCAGCTTGATGAGGCTACTGACAGTAATAATGATGCACATCATATTTGTTAGGTAAGCTTTCTGGCTTATAATATTGTTGGAGAACTTTCATTCTGCAATAACATAAAAGTGCGACGGATCAAGACCTGTTTCAAATTTATTGCAGAAGATGGTTTGGATTTGGAAAGGTACTGATGGGGCTCGATTCATGTTTGGCACCGAATGCAATATGGACCCATTGCATCATCCATAGGGAAAATCTTGCATAAGTCCATGAACTCTGAATTCAACCAAGTACTGAATAATAAATAGGCCGCTAAAGGCCAGACTTTTCAACAAATTATGCACAGATATTCAAGCGGAATTTACAGCCCTGCTGTAATATTATAATTCATGATGATTTTCACCTGAAAATTTCTTATTTCGTATATATTTGAAAAACTGAACGTCTTTGCAAGGCAACAACACGCACCTTCTGCAGCTGTTGAAGAAGATTGCGGAATCATAATCAATAGGAATTTCCAAGAAATACCGATAAAATGAATGTTCAGTAACCATAAGAAAGATCAAAATGAGGATCCAACCATTATGTTACTGACAATTTTGTGCTCTGCGGTTTCATCATCTTCCAAACAGAGACGGTACTCTCTGTCTTCTGACGGTCCGAGTCTGTGCGAAAAATGATTCAGACGACAGTAACATTTGAGTACGTCGTCCCAAACAATTGTTTGTACATTTTTTTGAAGGAAAACACTTCCACAATCTGAAAAAATGCTGGTGTAGAAAGGGTAAACATTTCATTTCATCCCGTTAGTACAATTTATGCCTTTTATCAGTAACTTGCCCTATTTTACAATTTCTACCATCAAAAATAACATACATATCCAACCGTTTCAGAATCAAAATTGGGAGAAACATTGCAGCCTTTCTTTGATTGGCTTTATTTTTTAAACTTCCTCGAAAGATGTCAAAACGGTTTTGATACCAGTGCAACAAATTCTTCGATAATAATTTTCCAGATCTATGAGGTTGCTAACGTCTTCCAGAAAACCTTCCTCTTTGATTTGAGTGTCCGAAAATAGAAATACCCCTGAAGTCATGCGAAAAATATTGTAAACGTCGTTTTTATCTTAATGTAAATTTACCATGTTGATCCGTGGCACTAGCCTTACGAAGAATACTTTTCACATCTTCTCTCCATTCGTTGATACCATAAAGTCGAGTTATTTCTACTTGAAACAATTCATACTCGGATATGTGTGCTGCTAGCCTTGTGAGAGACTGACGTCCTGATCCGCCTACTCCCACACAAAGACCATGACTTCTTGGTTGCTTTAAAATTCGGCATATTTTCGACAGATGTTCGATGGCAAATCTTAAACATAATATTGAAAAATCAACATCTAGTTTTATTTTTCATAGTTACATCAGAAGATTTCAAAATGGAATTGAAAGTAAATATGAATAATAATATAGAGTCTTTCATTAAGCACTTCCCATCTTTAAATTTGAATGATACAAAGTGTGTGTGAGATTATTAAAAAAACATTCATTTGAAAAACCTATTAATGCCATTATGTGTGAAATATAACATCGTTCAAATGTCTGTCACGCCTTCTTTGGGTGGAGCGCATACGAAACGTCCAATTTTCCATGACTCTGGCGCATGAATCAGGCCGAATTTGACCGATGGCATCAGTTATGTTGACTTTGAGGACCGCTATGGTTTGAGGCCCACCACGCCACCGCTACCACGCCACCGAGTAAGTGCCAAGCATGGCCAGTGAAATAATTTTAAAATTTTTAAATGTTTAAATAAAATAAGTTTTT